GTGCTCCCTAATGCTGCCCAGTACAGCCGATCCCGCAGACGGTGCTCCCTAATGCTGCCCAGTACAGCCGATCCCACAGACAGTGCTCCCTAACACTAACAACTGTTCACAAGACCTCTGCTACCCTCAGCACTTTGGAGGAGCCATTGGGCTGACAATGGTGTATTATCTAATCATTTTAAATGAACAATAAATTCAAAGCAGGTGAACACACTCTGGGATCCAGAGGGTGACATATGTCTTTGCTGCTATTGATCCTTCTGTGGGTTTCAACTCTGTGAGACCCTAAATCCACTGTTCAGTAAGGAAGACACAATACCAAAGAAGTGATGCACATTCAGGGTCTTTATTAATAAAGGAAATAAGTGTTTATAATTATGGAAATAATTCTGATGGTCCCTTCCAGGGGCTGGTCGCATCTTTAGAGGGTTCCCGGGGCTTACGAACCACAACTGAATATATAAGTATTCATAAAAATAAGTAAGATGCCTCATTTTCAGTCCTTCAGGAAATTTCCCCCAAAGAGGCCAAAGACAACCATTTCCCCATCATGTCTGTAAGTTCTGAAACAACTACAGGCACAATTCCTCCTGTACTTTTAGTTCAAATGGTTGAAATTAGAACCTTTAATTCCATAAACTCTTATTGAATACCAACATGTGTAATGAGAAAAATAATTACAAACACAGAATATGAAAAAACTTTTCCACCAAAAGTCATGGGCACACAGACATTTACACAGGGGAATGGTGGTTAGTGTTGACCTTGAGACCTCAGCAAAATGATTTTTGGTCAGATATACATTACCTAGGAAAATGAAAAGTTACAGGTCAAAATTTCAAGTTTCTAAGTTTAACATTACCACTTCCTTCCAAAAGATTTGCTTATGGGCTCAAATATGGAAAAATTAAGGTTAAATTATAATATCACTGTGTGACTGACCAGCTGCGGGGAAGTATGATACGATTTCAAATGAGACAAAACGGAAGCACAGCTTGTTTCAGATGGAGATACATAAGGCACAACAGTTTTCCTTCAGGATCCTTCTCTCTCTCTTACAGTCTTTCAACCATATCAGGTTACTTGACAGGGAGTCAGTACAGCACCAGTATGTACACAGGTACACAGGCGTGCACTGGGGTCTTCACATGTATACACATGCATATGGCTGCTTTCACTTTAAGGAGGGAAGTACAGCCCCACAGAGACCAGTATAGTTTAGCTTTCACCTGCCCCTAGCAGATGATTCAATCACAAACCTGCTTGCCCATTACCCCAGGGAGATCTACAGCTATACCCCTTCCCACTAGAGCCAAGCTCTGGACAAGGATGACCATGAGAAACAGGTGCAAACCAAGACTGCAGATGTGTATGTCTTGGACGGTGTGTCAGGAAGACTGCAGATGTGTACGTCTGGGAAGGTCTGTCAAGACTGCTTGGACTCTGCTTTGTGTAGTCCAGTCAGTGCACGTGAGGTTCTTAGGAAATAAAATGATATGGTGTACATAAGAGACTGTGAAAGTCCTGTTTGAGCTTAGGACTAGAGGACTGACCAGCCATGGGCTCACACTGCAGGAATTTGGCATGTCAGAAAATAGGTTAACTAAATGTCTCAAAAAATTAATAGACAAAGAGAGGTGGAGGGTGGGTGAAAGAAAAGAAGAAAGGACAGGGAGGGAGGTAAGGGGGTAAGGAATGGTACAAAGGCTTTGGAAGATGTTAGCTAACAAGAACGCCTTCCTCAGGTAGAGGGTAAAATGCCACGAAATACATGAACTATGCAGGCAAATGCAATAGTGGAACCACAGGCCTCTCTGTACTTCCGTCATGGTGGATGCGCACATAGAATGCCGCCTATGTACTGTTCCCAAGCACTTTTCAGAATATGCAAGATTAATTAGTCAGGTTCATTCTAGACAAAAATATATGTTTCTTTAAAGGAGCAAGGCGGTAGGCAGGAGAAAAGTCTTCTTGGGGCAGATTCCCCATAGGAATACAGAGACAGAGGAATGGGGGGTTGGCAAGTCTAGTGGACATGGATGCAAAATGACCATGAAGTTGTTGGTTGATTTTGAGAGCAGTATCTTCAAATATAATCTCCCAGCTCCGTCTGTGCAAACATCTTTGTGAGAGTTAATGAACATGTGATTGGTTTTCAATGACACTGTGGAACACAGTAAAAAGGGACAGAGCAGAAGTTGGAGCAGGGACAATGGCTTCAGAGCCAAGGTGGCCCTCTGGGGTCACACACACACACACACACACACACACACACACACACACGGATAGACTCTTAAATAAAATAGCACTTCCTTAAAAATCTGCCACCTAAGAACAGTTTGTACATCATAGAAAAATAGCAATTTTATAAAAAGAAATATAGTTACTTTGTTAACATGGTCTATTTTAAACCAGCAATTATTTTTCATATAAAGAATATCTAAACATTCACACAGAAGGTAAAACCTAGGGAAGACAGAGTGCAAAGCAGAGTGAGCACGGCATGTGTGTCTCAATGCCAAGTGGATCACCTCGAGGGTAAGTTACAGCAAGTGTGACCCTTCAGGAACACCAAGAAGTGACTATGAGTTTCACAGCGGTTAACTCACATGTCACCCCAAGCTGCCAAAAGTTCAGTGATAAAAATGCGTCATATGTAAGCACTCACTCACTTACATTCCCCTTACGCTGCACGTGTCCAAACTCCTAGGCCACACTCTTAAACATGAGTACAGGCTGGGAGATGCGGCAGGAAAGGAAGAGATCAGGGTACAGTCAAAATCACCCACTGCTTCTGTGTTTGATTTTCACCTAACATCAGATTTACACCAAGCTATTTACCAGCTTGGCCTAATCCACCCGGAAGGGAATTGATGTAAATATTCTGTTCTAAACATAGGAATTACATATCCATGCTATAGAGACAGATGGTGTCAGCAGACCACCACTTTATCTCCATAACAATTCTGTAGGGATGGCAGGCAAAGGAGGAGTCAAGACACTGCAAACCCCACAGTTTCCAGCTTCAGCCTGAGCAAGACAGGTGGGCCAACCAGAGAACACTCCACTAGCCGAGGCGGTGGGGGCTCCATCACACCCTCTCCACTCGGCTGGGATCATAGGAATCTGCAAACAAGAAAGACGAAAGGTCAGGGGGCACTCATCCGGCATAGTTTATGTTCAAGCTTCAGGCTATAAGTAGCAAACAAAATCACATGTATAGAAAACTGATCTATAGACACTTCAGCCAACTTATTTCACTAAGGAGTAAGAAACAACAGCTGGACTATTTTCTGGGAACGGGGCACCATCATTACCAAGTATAGACAGGTAAAGCTAAGCTGTTCAGTATACTGATGGTCCTTCCTGATCCTCAAAGGACAACATAAATAATAAACTCACTGACGCTTAACCAGCAGCAATTGCCTGGCCTAATGCTGATTCTTTTTATTCTTTTTGTTCTCTCTCTCTCTCTCTCTCTCTCTCTCTCTCTCTCTCTCTCTCTCTCTCCCTCC